TGCTTCCTAAGAAATGAGCATGTATTATTTGCAGTTGGCGAGCTACTTGACGTTATCGATCAAATAAATGGACCGAAATTAATTCAAATAGACTTCCTTAGGTATTCAGGCAAGCCTCAACCCTTCCTGTTCATATTAGATTTTTTTCTGATAAAATTGATATACCTTGTTATTTACTGTGTATCAGAAATAATGAGCTTCCCCTCGCAAAAAAATCAAACGCTTTGAACAAATTTGTTTGCTTCAACTTTTGTATAGCAAGCTAAAACATTAAAAGTTATCTGATCAACTGGACAATATAAACATGATATCATACAATTCTGCACATAGACTTAACGATCCATTACTAGGACCCAAGGGGATATCATATCAACCGAACACCGGAAACTTTATATATCATCATTTATATGCAGGTAATATGTAAAACGGACGAGGACTGAAACCATATTAATGCTAATGCGCTAACATATTGGAGTCGGTTAAATGTGACAGCTTTGAAAAATCCGTATTTTTTTACTGAAAATAAGTCTTCAATTGCCACTTATAACACACTTATAACACTTAAGTGTCATCAAAACAGTGAATAGCCGAAACATTATATAATAGAGGGATAATGTACCTTTCTTCGTACATTAAAATCTGCAGAAGCACGAGGACGCGCTTACATTTTTAACTCCGAGTCCTTTGCAGATGGTTTAACAAGAAAAAAAATGTGCATCACTGATATTCTTGTTAAAACATAATTATATGTCTGAGTCGGTAATTCTGTGTTTCGTTATCTGTTTCTCTTATACTGAAACCATTGTGTCTACGTGTTTTCCACAGTTTGATACTATATTTGTTATTCAATTTAGCATGACTTGGAAATAAAAACCTGTAATAATTATATAGTTAAAATGAAACACTTGTTTTTTGACTTGCGTCTACTTCTTTGGGATTTATATGTTTGAGGTTGACCTACTTTTTCATGCCGGAAATTTCATCTGGCACAAGGGGTAACCTATTTCTGTCAACTGCATTTAAACTGAGAGTTGTTGATTCAAAGCCCAGAAGGAGTCAACTTGATTTTTTTCTCTTTATTTTTTCTCCTAACATTTTATATGTATCTTTTTTATCCGTCTTGGAAAGAAGAAAAGTGCTAAATTTTAAAATATGATTATTATGTGTATTTATTGGCTAAAAATGCCAAATAAAATTTACTTTGAAAACAACTCTTTACTTTGGAAATTTTAGAAATGTTTTGAAATAGACTCTCTGACTAGAAGCAATCAATTGACTTTTCTGATTTTGAAACTGAAGATTATTATTTATTTCTAATAACAATAAATAGAACAGTTTTCATTAGGACGATATTATGATATATCACGTATATATCATTTTTAATTTCTTCATATCTGAAAAAAGCTCTTAATATATTAATTTAAAGCTTTTTGCCCCAAAAGAATCCATCAAAACTCGTTAACCGTGCGATATATTTTGTTTCAATTTTGAATACAGCCGTCCATTTCAGTTAATCCTTGGCGGAAAGAACGCTGTCGGAAATCTCAACAAGTATACTTTGATCAAAATTAAGATGTGAAATGACTTATTTATTTAAAACAGTTATTGTATGAATATTTTTACTGAATATCAAAGTGTCTTGAATTTAATCTCTGACCTCGGCCTTGTTGAATATCACGTAAGCCAGTTACATACACTCGTATCATTTATTATATAGCGTACTTATCGGCGCGGTATTCATTTCGACGTGCTTTGGTATGTGATTTAAAGGAACTAAATAAATACGTTTTTATATAAGAAATATTAAACTCGTCCTAGGAAATGATGCAAAGGGTGGCTTTATAACATTTTTAGCTCCTTTCTTTTAATTTTATATTATATGGCAACTAAAACGAGTTTCATTTAAGTCTTTTTCAATTGCGTCTTATTTTATCAGCTACTGTAAACAAATTCACAAAACATATTCAAAATTGCGGTACAATTGGCTATTGTAAGGTTTACTTATAAACCATCAAGTTTAATATGTGTAACTTGGAATGTAGAATATTAAGATTGGCCATTATTTAAGGTCAGTAACCAATGGCAACTCACAAAAGTTGACCATGATAAATCATTTATTATACTGAAAGAGGAACCAAAATGTTAACAAAACCTTTATCAATACACGGCATATATACAAGTTCAAAACGTAACAGATTCTCACAACCAATCATCTGTGGTATTTATCCATGCTTATGTAAAAAGTACTCATCCAATAGGCTTAAAATTTCCCTTCTCACCGATAGATACACGGCAATGCATGTAAAGTGTGTAATGAAAATGTCGGTTCGCATAGTCGAGTGTTGCTCTTTATTGTTAAATAACGGCCAGTAGAAACACAGACTACGCCAGTCAACAATGCTAAGTGACATCTTGATCATGCAAAGTGACAGTGCAACACTGCGAATGACATTTTGACAATGCGAATCGACGCTCAACAATGCAAATCAACACAAAACACTGCAAAGTGACATTCAATATTATTGCTCTTTTTTACGCGACATAAACATACGTTTGGTAGTGTTGAGCGCGTCGTGTCACTAAGCATTGTCGCACTGTAACTATTACATTTGAATTGTCCTGATGCCACCTAGCGTTGTCGAGTGTCGCAGGCTGTCGACCATTTAACGGCAATGCAAAATATTATATTTAGCACGATAAGAACACAATACCAACGGGAAAGTATAAAGCTTTTAGAACAAATATATTTTCGACATACATTTTCATTTAAAATAAAATAGATAGAATGACATACCCGTCCTTCTGTCTTTTACTTATTCAATCAAATGTTCGTGTCTAGTCCAAAATGATTATCTTACAACAACTTATTTTTCAAATCAAAGATTAAAGGTACAAGTTCAAATATAAAGGACATATACTTTAATCATAAATAAAAACATGACAAGACGTTTTCGCACGCTTATCTTTTTTTTTCTAGAAATCAACAAATGTCTTAAATGATAGTTCATCAATAGAATATACCGCAACCACCAACTAAAGTATACACACAAACACTAGCGTGCACAGGAAAAAGCACGAACACGCATACATAAACAAGTTATATAACTTTATGAACTATATCTTACTAAAATGCATCGATTAATTGCTTAGTTAAAACTTTTAAAATATTTTGAAAATAAATTCAATCTAGTGTTATTAGCTTTATGTAAAAAATTACATACCCCTCTAGTTCGGAACGTAACATGCCATGGATACATTCCAGGTGGTGCCTCTGATCCCTTTGATATTCTTGACGAAACCATAGCCTCATCATGAATGGATATACCACAATCTGACATATCAACAAATAAATAAATTCACATTTTTATCTGATCTGTTTTAATATCTCTATTAAAAAGGGACATGCATTCACCTAACTCCATTAAAAGTCACCGATTGCGATATAAATAAACTATTTCAATGTTAGTAAAGAAACCAAAATGACACAAATGCCCTCCTCATCTTAAACAGAAAATATAATATGTATATGTATACATATTTTAATAAATTACAGTAAAAACAATTTACATTGGATACGGTTTTGTGTGAGTGTTATTTATTTAATAAATACATTTCTATAAGTCGTTTTGTAACTCAAATTTTTGTAAGAACAGTCATTTTTGTCCATGTACGCTTATTAGTTTCATTCTATTGAACTTCTAACATCAGGAAATTTGAGACTTTTTGGTTCTTTGGATAATTTATTTTAATAAAAATACATGTGCGTGTATTGTTATACATGAAAAAATCATATAGTTTGATGATTATCAGAACCGAATTTCTTTAATCATATCTGTGTGCACAATATCCCATTTTAAAGTAACACTGTTAATATGATACAATAAAGACACAGAGCAATACTCACCGCGTAATTATAACAGAGTGTCGACAACAGCAGCACCATTCAAATACAGATTTCAAATAATTTGAAGTAATTTTAATTGATTTTTATTAGAAATGAACTGTCTATACTAAGTAAAACGAATATTCTTTCATGAGTCGGACATATACAAGGGGTTATAAAAAAAAGTCGTGGACTTTTTAAATATCTCTTGAACGTCAACGTGTATTGTAATGAATTTACAAGGTTAGCTTTTAAAAAAGCTAGTAGCGACTCGCTTCGTAATTTTTTTCCAGGGGTGCGTTTAAATGTAAAAATGACAGTTCTGTTAGCTGAAAGACTTCAGCGAACATCAAAATAAAAGTGACATAAAGTTATGGAAGCCAGTTTCAATCAGTTTAACAAAGAGGAGTATGAGTATATATGAAGATGCATGTAAACAGATAGAATGAAGTCCCTTTGTCTATGCACATTTACTATATGGCCTTTTGACCTTAATCAAATAAATGTTAGATAGGTAGAATTTATAAAGATGTCTCTTTATACGAAGTTAAGTTGTAATATGATATTTAGTATTGGAATGAGTGACAGACACAAGTCCTAAAGTAAACACAAGTTGTCAATTGATTCATCCATTAAATACGGGATCCTATTAAAAATATAGGGATCCCGGGAACTAACCAGTCTTAGATGCTTTTCAGATAAGCCGGGATCCTATTAAAACATATAGGGATCCCGGGAAGTGACCAGTCTTAGATGCTTTTCAGATAAGCCGGGATCCTATTAAAACATATAGGGATCCCGGGAATTGACCAGTTCAAGAATATAGATTTCAGAAAAGCCGGGATCGTATTAAAGTCTAAAGAGATCCAAGGAATTGGCCAGTTCAAGAATAGTTTTCAGAAAAGCTGGGATCGCATTAAAACATAAAGGGATCCCGGGATTTGACCAATTCAAGAATGTAGTCTTTGATTTTTCCAATTAATTAGGCATATAATTATTAGCATTGTGATTTTTTAAGTTTGTTGATAAATAGCTCTAAATATATTTATATCCAAAGTTTAATTAATTTAACGTTCATTACATACAATAAAAAACTTAACGTTTAATGGCCTTTCATTACGACAATAATCAACACAAATATAGTTTATTAGTTTCCTCTATATCTTATACGATCCCGGATCCCGGCCAGTCCGGGCGTCCCGGATCCCGGCCAGTAAATATATACACTAAATACCAGAAAGGATAAAATGACCGGAAAAAAGGAAAAAAGAAAAAAATGCACAGAACCAGGTGTACACTTATGTTAATTAACCAAACGAAAACTCAATACAGAGGAACAGTGAAATCGCTAAATCAAAAGTCAGTGTTGATATGATTTATTGAAAAGAATTCATGAGAACAAACATTTTTTTAATCATCATAATATCTTTTGCGCTCAAAACAATACTTGCTGCTTTTTAAATATGGCGTGAAAATTGAAGGTTTTTTGACGCTATGTAAGATTAAATTTGATTGGCTAAATAATTTTGGATCCTAGCCCTGATAGATAAATTTTCATAGAAAGCTGGAAGCCAAGCTTCGATTAAATTTTCGGATGGATTCGGAGTTTTAGGTAGTTTCTCAGTAAAATCCTACCGTAATACCGGCTCGCCGTGGCGAGCCGGCATCAGCATACATTGCAGAATATTATCAGCACATTTTGAAAGGAACAGCTAATTGTTTCAATAAATAATGATTTTATATTGCTTTTAAATAAGCACATACAAGGCATCCGGCGCACGGTAGAAAAGCGCAGCAAGTTATCGTACGAGCTATATTTCTTGCTAAAAACTTAAAAATTAACGTAGAAAACCCGCTAAATATCGCATGTTTCTTTTATGATGTCATTTAAGTAATTTTTTAAATTAATGGACGTCATTTCCTTTTCATTTTTGTTGATATCGCTAGAAACGCCAGACGCCTTTTTGTTTACAACGGGTAAATGACGGACACGCGGTAATTAGAAAATCGCAAGATCATAAACGATCATAAATTTTTGTTGTAATTTTGAAATGACACCTACAAAAACATTTGATAAAAATCAGCTGACGAACATAGAAAAGAAAATTTCACGATCATGAGTGTTAAAGTGGCATAAAAAAATTGTGATGGACATTACTTTGAGAAGCAGTAACCGCCATTGACTGCGCAACGTTGAAGCACAAGTTGTACGTTAATATTATGACGTTGACGTCAATAACTTTTTAGAGTGCGCCGCTGTGGCCGACATGTGTTTATGTAAAATTAGATGTTGTTGTAATGTTAGAAGCTTCTCACATGTTTTTGTCTGTGTTTATTTGTTATTGATTCTTCTAAGCAGTGTACAAATTTCAAATTAATATCTCAAATATATTTTACGCAACAAAGAAAGTTCACGAATGTTTGGATAACCCCTCGAATATATAACTTATGTGAACTTTAATATAAATATTGGGAAAAGGTAATAGAATGATTAAACGAATGCGCTTTAAGTAATGTAACCTACCCCGTTAATAATGAAATGCAGCAACTGTTTATTTAGCACAACAACAACTTATAATTGACAGGGTGTTTAATTTAATCATCAACGATACGCAACTTGCGTATTCACATCACAATTTAGACAAAGAGATTAAAAGGAACACATATTGACTTTAAAATATAAAGGAAAATTAAAGTATGTTCATAACTACGTTTGTTTTCGAAACTATTACGTTTGTAGCCTTTTGAGGCAATACTACATTTAATTTCTGAGCGAAAAAAAATGCGTATAGGAAATACGAGATGTAAACAATTCAAATAAAGATTTTTTAAAATTAACTTCCCTTTTTATGTTAAAATTACAATATAAGAAGTAGATGAGACTATATCATTTATTTTTTCAGTCTACATAACTACAATACTACATATCAAAGTATACAAATGTACATTATAATTGTTAAATATGATTCTTGAAAAAACGTTAAGTCGAAAACATGAACAAATCACAACCAATTAATTATTGATCGACACTGGTACTATGGTTTCTTTTTGATAGTGTAAAACGAGATAACTGCAACATCGAACTACAGACAAGTTAATTTAATAAATAACATTAATTAGGTAGACATGTATTCATCGCCAATATAACATACATGTGTTTCTAAAGGGAAAAATAAACTAAATCTTTACAAATTTATAGAAATTGTAGATATTATGAATAAACACGCAATGTACAAATCGCGTTTATATTATATTTCCTTCACTGATGTGAATTATGTCCCAGCTTTAAAAATATATAATTATAAAATGTATATTATTACTGCTATGTAACATAAAACATTTAAGTAATTAAAAACAATGTTAATTTATTGCTTTCCCCTTTTTCAAAATTTTGCCGGATCTTGTAATGTAAACAATTAAAATTATTTGCTATCTGCATTAAATTATTTCTCGAAATATCTTACTGGCCTTTAAAGTACAAAAAGTGATAAATGGGTGGAAATGTCTTTACCACTAGGTGTCGAAAAGTCATGTTAAAAGGGGTCTGAGAGTCAATGGGTCTAGAATTCATCTTAGTATCCTAATTGGTCGAGAAGTTAAAGGGTCTAAGTGTCTTACTTGCGTAGAGATAAATAGAATCCCTTAATAAAATTTCAAAACGGCAAAATTGAAAAGCTCGGTTTGATTGAGCCTGTTCATTCCCCCCATATCTTCCTCAATTTCTTTTCCCTACACACTTTTACTTTTTGTAATTTCCTTGTCGGTTTCCTATTCTAAATTTTATTTTAATTAATACCCTGTCCTGTTTTTGTTTGGTATCCTGCAGGGCGTCTTGTCGGTAGTTCTGTGTTGCTGATTCGTGTTTTTCTTATTTTGAATCAATCGTGACAAAAAAATCAAGACATGTAATAATGTCCTGAAAGAACTTTAAAAGATAAAACATTACAAAATCTAAGTTTAGAAACCTTATAAAATGGAAATGAAAACACGTACATGACTTGAACGAATTTACGTCCACCACATGAAAATTGCCTTCCTTATAACTATAGCAACCGTTTTCGTCTTCGGCCTCGCACTGGTAAACTCCCGCGTCCTGCATTCTAACGTTTAAGATACGTAAGTAGTTATTAGCCATTTTCTGTCAACAATAAAGATTTACATTTGACCAACAGAATAATGAACTATTAGTTTTGTGAATACATAATAACAAACTGTTCGCATTTTGGAGGGAAATAAAATAAATCATATTTGCTCTTGTTATTACACAATGAATACAAATGTATTTTCTCATGTCCGGTCATGAAGGTTAAATTAAGCTTGAAAACAGACCATTTATTAACAGTTACACTTTCTGCTGATTCTCTTGGTGATCATTAAAAACAGGTGTGACTTTAAAAGTATTGTCTTTATGTAAAGATGAAAAATAGAGGTGTATGTAAGATGACCTCAAAGTATGAATAAAATTATTTAATTAGGCTTTAGCATCTTTATCGCTGTAGAAGTGTGTTGTTTTTTAACCTTTTAAAATGTGTGAGTTCTTGAGAGGTTAAAAAAACTACCAATTTTGTTTTTTGAATTTTGGATGAGACTAAACGTGAAACTTGGGGAAATAGTTTCTTCTGTAAGCAACACAGATATTTTTAACAAACAATTACATCAAATATTATTTATTTGTTAATATATGTAGGTATTTCATAATTATATGGCATTTATTGAGGGAAACATAAAACCCAGGTCAAATAAGTGTCATATTAGCTGAAAAATTGAATATTTTCTTTGCCCTGGTACTTCTACCCGTCTGTTGACTCAAAACACGATCATATCCGGTGAACAGTCCAATAATGTTAAAACAATGATAGAGCAAGAACTGTGGGAGGACAGCGGCGCTCGACTATTCGAAAAAAGTGTCACAGGGGTGTTTCATTTTGAGTGTAATAATGCTTACAATACATAAAATTGTCCAAAAAGATACACAGGCTTGTTAATAAGATGTTTTATAGAGTAAATCACTGCTTTATTATCATGAATGCATAAAATTGTCCCAAAAAAGGCACAAACCCTTCAGTAGTTATCCAGATACCAGCCTACAAGCAAAAACCTTTCCAAGAATTTGTAAGTTGAAAAAAGGGCATAACTACACAAAAAAGCAAACCAGAGATATGGGACTTATGCAAATCATGTAAGATAATCATAGAGAACAATTGTGTGATGATTCACTTCATGCCTGTCAGTATTTATTGAGAAACCAGCGTACACGCAAAAACTTAACCAAGGATTTCTCAGCCGACAAAGAGGCATACATGTGCAAAAAGCAAATAAGAGTTATGGGACTTGTGGCAATCATGTTAGATAATCACAGAGAACAAGTGTGTGAAGTTCCAATCCAATCTCTTCAGTAGTTATGGAGATACTAAAGTCTTGCTTACAAGCAAAAACGTTACCAAAGGGACGCCGACAAATGGGTGACAGCATTAGCTCCATTATTCTGCAAATAGTCGAGCTAAAATATTATTTTTTATGTGTTACAGCATTGAAACATTTAAGGAACGCAAATATTGGTATTATATGGTATTATTAACTAGCAAGATGTTTAAATTGTATGTAAAGTTGTGTCAATTAAATATGGTATTCGTTACAGCAGGCACTTTAAATTCCTTACGTCGGGAGGAGAGAGACGGACACTCACACTTTTGGATTTAAAGTGGCTACCCAATAGTACTTTTAGACTTATAGACACATTAAAATTCATGGATACAAATAAATGGCTTCAAAAAATATTAAATACTGCAATACATAAAACCATATGTAAGCACTGTGGGACAGACAGTTTTGATGAGCTAGATAAGCCAATTACTTCTGCTGATTTGGAATTTAATATTAAGAAATTAAAGAACAATAAAGCCTGTTGCATGGGTATTTTGATAAACGAATATTTTATAGAGTGCTATGATATACTCTCTTTTCATTTGGTTGCTTAATGTTAATCTAAATTTCAGATACTTTCCAGTTGAATGATTATGTGGAGTTATCGTGCCTATTTATAAAAAGAAGGATCCGCGAGACGTGCGTAACTATAGAGGCATTACACTTGCAAATTGTTTATCGAAACCTTTTACAAGAATATTAAATAAGCGGCTGAGCAGAAATTTTTAACGTTATTAATGACGCGCAATTTGACAATTGATGCTGTATTTGTTTAAAATCTTATTGTACACAAAGTTTTAATTGTAATGCTGTATGATTGATATCAAAAGAGCATTTGATAGTGTTTATTTAAATGTCCCTTTGCTAAATAAACATTGATTGAAAGCCATTTAGAGTAGTGCAGTTTATGTATTATGTATTCACATGTTAAAATTGTGTTAAAAGTTGTAATTCATATTCGCAATTCTTCGAATGCGCTAACAAAACAAGAAACAAGGAGAGGTTATGTCTCCTTTGATGTTCCTCTTATTTATTGATAACCTCAAACTATTTTTGCAAGAAAAACATGCTTGCGACTTATCACTAGGTGATATAACGTTCATACTTTTGTTATCTGCAGACGACATAGTTATTTAAGACAATACAGTTAGCGACATACAAAAAGCCTCAACTGGCATTATACATTTTGTAATTAATTATACCCCACCACAAAATGTGGGGGGGAGGGGGTTATAATGGATTCGCTTTGTCGCGTCGGTCGGTCGGTACGTCCGTCCGTCCGTCTCCATTTTCGTGTCATATCTATAAATCCTATACCAATTGAAAGATTTTCTTCAAACATGGCTTAGATGTTCACCTCAACAAGGGGATGTGCAGAACTAATGTTGCCCATGTGTCAGCTCAAGGTCAAGGTGACAATTGAAGCTCAAATATCAAACAATCAAATATTAGAGAGTATGTCGTTTCCGCTCTGTAAGGCCTACACTTATTGAAAGATGTTCTTCAAACTTGGCTTAAATGTTCACCTCAACAAGGGGATGTGCAGAACTAATGTTGCCAATGTGTCAGCTCATGGTCAAGGTGACAATTGAAGGTCAATATCAAGCAATCAAATATAAGACAGAATGTCGTGTCTGCTCTGTAATTCTTACACTTATTAAAAGATTTTCTTCAAACTTGGCTCAAATGTTCAACTCAACAAGGGGATGTGCAGAACTAATGTTGCCTATGTTTCAGCTCATGGTCAAGGTGACAATTGAAGGTCAAATATCAAACAATCAAATATTAGACAGAATGTCGTGTCTGCTCTGTAAGTCTTACACTTATTTAAAGAGTTTCTTCAAACGCGGCTCCAATGTTCACCTCAACAAGGGGATGTACAAAACTTATGTTTCCCATATGTCTACTCAAGTACAAGGTCACAATTAAAAGTCAAATATCAAACAATCAAATATTAGACAGTGTGTCGTGTCCGCTCTATAAGTTCTACACTAATTGAAAGATTTTCTTCAAACTTGGCTCAAATGTTCACCTTAACAGGGATGTGCAGAACCCATGTTGTTTATGTGTCAGTTTAAGGTCAAGGTCACAATTGAATGTCAAATATCAAACAATCAAGTATGAAGACAGTGTGCCGTGTCCGCTCTGTAAGTCCTACACTAATTGAAAGATTTTCTTCAATCTTGGCTCAAATGTTAACCCCAACAAGGTAATGTGCAGAACCTATGTCACCCTTTTGCCGGCTTAAGGTCAATATCACTATTGAAGGTCAAAAATTGACTTAGAAAATATTCTTAAATTTTAACATGTATTTGAATATTTCTGAAACTAGAAAAAGGATTTGCTTGAAACTTAAAATATATATGAAGTGTCACAATTAAATTATGGTGGTCAAGTTTCATAACTCTGTATTCTAACAAGTTTATGTGCAGAATCCATGCTACCTTTGTGCCGGCTAAAGTTCAAGGTCACACTTGAAGGTCAAAAAATGTTCTTAAATTTTAACATGTACTTGTGAATATTTCTGAAACTAGCACAGGTATTTGCTTGAAATTTAAAAGATGTATGAGGTGTCACAAATAAGATATGCAGGTCAAGTTTCATAACTCTGTATTACATTTTGACAAAGTGATGCCCCTTTTAAAGTCCTTAAATTTACATACAATCAATATTAGAAAATATGTCGTGACCGCTCTATAAATTCTATACTAATGGAAGGATTTTCTTCAAACTTTACTCAAATATTAACCCCAACTGGGCAATGTGCAGAATCCCATCTTACCCATTAGCCTTCTTAAGGTCGAGGCCACACTTGAAGTTCAAAAATTGACTTAGAAAATGTTTAGTACATTGGAAAAATGAAAGGTTAATTGTAACTGTTTCGAACATGATTTTACAATATATACTTATACCAATACCTGTACAATTAGTTTTTTTCACCTGAGATAATTTCTTTTTATGTATAAATATTTGTGCCACTAAAGTTATTCATTTAACCACCTTTCCAAGTCGTCTTCTGTCAAAGACATTGATGGGGGTGTGAATCGTATTCAGCGATAGTTCTATTTGGATTTGGAAGTGAATACTTTGAAGCCGAATAATATTATAATTAGGAAATGCGGCCGTTTTAAACATGATGAATGTTGGACATATAATAACGAGGATATAGAAATTGCTGATAATTTTAATAATCTAGAATGTTTTAATTACACGGGTACATTTGTATTAAATAAAGAAATATTGACAGGTAAAGGTCTTAAGGCTCTTAATGTTTTAATGTATAATATCAAAGTATTGAATCTTAAACCAAGCATTATTTGCCATTTATTTGACGCCTTTGGTGCAACTACTCTCAATAAGGTGTGTGAAATTTGTGGTTCTGGGTAATCGATAGAAATTGAACGTATTCATTTAAATTTTTACAAGTCTCTTTTGAAAGTTAAAACAACTTGTAGTTATTTAGGTGTTTATGGAGAATTGGGGCGTTACCCATTGTATATAAATAGGTATGTGCGTATTATTAAAGTCTGGTGTAAAATATGAAAGTCTTCTTATTTATTGTGAGCAAACGTATGAATATTTTTGTAAATGTACGGTGAATAGAAATAACTGTAACATTTTAGATTGCTACGGTTTTTCATGTGTTTGACTTAAATAAGTTCAATCTAGTTTTCAAAGAAAGAGTAATAGAACTGACACCCAAACTGCTACGTGGATGCAGAACATTTCAAACATTCTAAAACTTCATTAGGGTTTAAAAAATATATTTAAATTAAGAAGCGTTTTGTCTCAGCTTAGATTATCATCGCACAAGTTGGCCGATACGCCAGGAATAGAGTAGAAAGAAATGTGCAATATTGTGCATTTTGTAGCAATCGAAATTAAGAAGACGAATATCATTTTGTTATGGTATGCCCAGTGTACGCAAATATAAGGAAACAATTCATTAAAGTATAATTCATAAGAGGTCAAATGTTATGAAGGCTATAGAGATTTTGAAATGTGATAATTGTGTTTCTGTTCAAAATCAGGCAAAATTCACATATAACGCATATCTAAGTTAAGAAAGTATTTACTGTAAATTGCAAAATTTGAAAGATCAAAATTGTCTTATTAACTGAGTTGCTGATTCATCCTCCTTGAACTATCTTTACTTATTTTTGTGATAAACATGTAATTTTTGTTTGAACTTTATTTGATCATTTTACAAATGTATGTTTGTGTATACGTATATGTAAAATGTATAACAAAATTTTCTACTGTTAACGTCAATAAAATTTTATGTCTACAAGTCTGTCTGTTAAAAACAAATAACGGTTTCCAATTAATGAAATGTCAAGATTAATATACTTGCTATTTAATTTCATAAAATGTATAAAACTGCAATTTGAATGTTACTGATTTCGTATATTTCTCCATCTATTAAAGATTGAGCTGAACAATTAAAAAAAAACATAGGAAATTATTAAATGATAAATGTTTGCAAACGTATGGAAATACATTGTTCGTAATAAATTAAGCTAAACAATTCGAAAACATAGGAAAGTATTAAATGATAAATGTTTGAAAACGTATGGAAATACATTGTTCGTAATAAATTGATTTTTTAAATGTAAACATACCTTGATTCTATCATCCTTGTCATAATCAATGTAAACTCCATCTTTCTTCCATCTGACTTCTTTGGCCTGATTGTCCACGCGGCATATAAGTAAAGCCATTTCGTTTATTTTTTTGCTCTCTGGCTGAGGTCCAGGAAATATTCCTTGTAACATTTGAATATGGAAAAAATTGTCCAAAACAACCAAACAACCAAAATAACAAAATCTTAACTTATAAACGTCACAATTATTCAAAGAGGTTATGTATGAGAGTGGGAGATAAGTACAGTGTATTATTTGTTATGTTAAATCACCTAATGCTACTAGAAATCTATATGAAAAAAGACTATAGTTTAAATAACATTCAACGAAAACTTTTAGCAGTCAGATAAAAAGGGAAAAAGGGAGCTTAACGAACGCCCAAAACGGTAAAATTAAAAATGTAGAAGGCTGATAAAATGATAAGTATTCCCCACCAATTCGGCTAATTAGATTAAATTTGACCGCTGAATATTAATAAAGTTTGTATAAAGTATATAACAAAGAATATAACAATAAGAATGTTACTTTTACAAACCTTATTTTTTTTGTCTCTGTCATGGTGCAATATTTACTCGCAAATATGTTATTTTTATACAATTTGATAGTGTCTTTGCGATTGGTAAACGTTATTGTAAATGGGCAAAGATCGCATTTCTTGCTGGTTGCTTATAAACTCTACTGTTAATATTTTCTTCGATAAATTTGCATTTTTATTTAATTTTACCCATGAAATATGGTACTATATCAGTCAAATATATTTCATATTTTTTAAAAATAAATATGAAATATAAATATGAAAGTGGGCGGAGTCAAAACTCATATTTATTTTAAGGGACTCCTTTCGCCGTTTTGTTTGAAAAATCTGATAAATGCAAAACAACTTTTTCTTGAATTTTGTTTTGAAAACTACCTAGCATGATAGAAAATGGTCTAACTAACAAAATTAATCCGAACGCCAATATCTTAAATTCAGTAATTAACGCTCTACAGACGTTTAAAGAGTTGTTTACATGACGTCACAATGTAGCGCCAAACAGAACGTGCTTACACATAAATTACTGCGCGCTGTACAATTGCAGTTGGTAGCAAGCAAGGGGATTCGTTACCATTTTCTTTGATAATGAAATTAAATAAAAAGGTTATTTTTTCGTTTTCCGTGAAATATGGTATATATTTTCACTCAACATGATAAAATGCCACATATTTTCACTCGCCGTACCGGCTCGTGAAAATATGTGGCATTTTATCATGTTTCGTGAAAATATATTCCATATTTCACGCAAACTAAAAAATATCCTCTTAATATTTCTTTTTTTGTTGTTATACATTAAATCCTTTGTTGTGTTGCCAATGTTTTAAACTTACTGACGTTACAATCCTCTGCAATCCTATACTCGAATGTGTGTTCCGCTGTTCCACCAGAAGTTGTCGCAAAACATGAATATTGTCCCTCCAATTCGTCAGAAAAGTCATCAATCTTAAACATTAGCATAGTTAAGTAGAATAGTTAGAGTTGAATATATATATGATATGGGAATCAGGACAAACCTGACTCAATTCCGGTTCATGTGGTCGATCTTCGATACTATACACCATATGCTACTACCAGTTTTCATATGTTATGAGATATTACTTCATTAAAATACAATTTTCATCCTTGCTTGTACAACATCAAAACAAATTATGCTGTTATCCGAATACATGCCAAATCTGCATTTCATAAACTCTAAATTATTGGAAAAATCAAGTTCAAGTTCAAATCAAATACCAGATTGCACTGAGAATTTTTTCTGATTAGTCTTAACGAAGGAGTATAACAAAAGAGGCTTTTGTCTGTTAAAATGAAAAACCTTACCCCCCTCTCTTTCGCCAACAATAAAAAGAAGAAATAAGTATTTGATATACAAGTATTTTGATATTAAGAATTTTATAACTAGTAAATATTAATATACATACACAAATGAGAAAAAGATACGATTTTTATCATCAACAATAAATGTATATTGATATAATCGAAATAATTATCGTAACCTACCTGATAACAAATTAAAACTTTAAAATGCTAGAAAATTCATAACGCACCTGTAATATTCCACCTGGATGAATTCCAAAGCCTGTCTTTTTACTGTACGGCTCTATCAATGTTCCTTTTAATGACCTGGAAATAAAACATACTTTATAATTGATATTTAATTGGGACATTTTCTATTACTCTTTAAAATATTATAACATTAAATTATCAGGTTTATATAAATTTAGAACCTGAGGGCCATGATGGCCCAGAAATCCCTCACCTGTATATAGGCCCCTAGGCAAAGGTCAATTTTAAACCAGAGGCTTTTATTTGAACAACCTTGGTAGACACTCATTAGAAGATGTTTCATGATAAATATCTTAGCTCTAGCTCTTTTGGGTTTTTATGAGAAAATTTATTCAGTTTTTACTATATACATATAGGGAAAAAACAATGACCCCTTCCTGAGAGGGGACAATTTTGACCCAGGGCTTTTATTTAAACGAAACTTGGTAGACACTCTATAGAAGATATTTCATGCTAAGTATCTAAACATTCCTGTGAAGTTTGGATGAAATTGGCTGAGTGGTTTATGAGGAGATGTCATTTAAAGTAAAAGTTTACGGACGGACGGACGGACGCCGGACGGACGCCCGACGAAAAGCGATCACAAAAGCTCACCCTGTCACTTTGTGACAGGTGAGCTAAAAAATAGGAATTTTTAGAATAAGGCCCATCAAGTAGGAAAATGGTCAAACAACTATTTAAAATGGGTAGGGTAGGGTAACATTTAAATACATATTTTTTTAAACAATTTGAGTAGAAACAATAGTTTTGCTTGTGCCATTTGTTAGCTGAATTCTATTATTTGTTTCTTAACAATGTTTAATAGGAAAAATCAAAGGTGGTGATCCATACGACTCAATATATATATATACCATATATATCACCACCTTATAATTATATATCGATTTACTTTCGTTAAAGAAAGAACATAGTTATCCAGTATTCTCCGGGCTGATTTGCGTTATGTATCTTGACAATGTAAGCTATTGAAGCTGTTTCGCTCTGGTCTGGTAGATGAACCTTTGGGGACCCACTCAATAAAGTAATCGAACTGGTTAAACATGGATGTTTTGTATTTCAATTGTGTGTCTTTTTCCAAGCGATCGTCACAATTTCTTTCAGTGCATTTAAAATAAGCTGATCTGATCGGGGGATGTGCAATAACTACTATATGCCCGAGGCATAAAAACGAGTTCATGTTTGTGATATTATTATTGTGAACTTTTAACAAATTTAACATATTAACATAACCGAACCAGGCGATTTCTAGGGCGTTGATGTAAACATATTTTATTGCCAAAAATAAGACATAATTATTATACATACATGTAGACAGCTACAATACAATGACATGGCAAATGGCAAAAGGGTTGACCCACAAGTTCTCTCAACATTAGCAACGGGTCTTTCGGGTCTTCCCTGATGCAATAAATTACAATAACATATTTTACAAGAATGACTATGAGTTAGAGAGAAGTAACAAAACTCACACATATATAGTATTTGGCTTTAAAAATGATTTTAGGTAAGAAAGAACAATACAATGACTTAGAAAACATGTACATTTGCCAAATATAACAAAAACAAACAGAGTGCGAATAGATTATGAGAAAATGAAATATAGAATGGAAAAAAAGAAGAAGAAGAAAGGAAAGAATCTTGTCTGTTCTTTTGCAAAAATGAAAAAAATACATTAATATTTATTTGGATTGTGCTGGTTTGATTTCAAAATCAAAAGCGTTTGCTTACTTTTATGACAGTCAAAACTATTTTATTATTATTTTCTAAAGACAGCTCTTTGTTCCCAAATAAAAGTAATTGGACATTTAAAGGGTGAAATTGCCTAAATTCGTTAAAAATATCAATTCTCTCATTTCGATATTCGGACAAGTAAACAAAAAATGGTTAACATCTTCTGTCTCATAACCACAGCTGCGACAAATGAAATTGGAAATTTAAGTTACTGCATGCATTTCACAGTCTGCCGTGTAAAACAGAGAGTTTTCTTTTACCTGTTAGGTACCATTTTGGAGTGTCTGTAGATCGAAAGGTTGATTTCTTTAAATAGAAATTTAAAATGTGACAAAGTTTCTACAGATCTTGTTTCAAGTTGCAAATTGTTCCATAGCATCACAGAGGAAGGCACAAAAGAAGAAGAAAATATATATGATTTCGTCTGGTTAAATTTGCAAAGTCTTCTGAGTTTCTAAGATTGTATAATGTTGTATTATGAACTCTTTCTGGAAAAATATTACTTAAATAATCAGGAACGTCTCCATTATGAATTCTATATGTTCTAGGGCGTTAATTTGTTTATGGCAGATAATACATGATTTTCTGTTACGTTTTCGTTCAGCACGTCGTTATCAATGTTTTCAAACAATTTTCATCCGATAAATCATCATAAAATACAGAAAAATGGACCTAAATATAGGACTTCGCAAATACAGCAACAAATACAACAGACATGACATTAATATGTATATAACATAATCAACGGTGTACAACATTATAACACTTATACATCAATATAACCCTGCGACATAATGCATCATTAAAAAAAACAACTGATCGACCGACGCTTGCTTTGGCATGGGCTGCGTTAAATACCAGTCTAAGGCCAGGTCAGGTGGAGTCTCAATGTCATCATGACATACCATGGGGTATGATAAACAGCAATATACATATTGAGAAGTAGATTCTTTTTACTTTAATTCATGAAAATGTATCTTCCATTTAAATGATGCAATAAAACACCTTACTGTCATCCTTTAATTGTCAATATCTACTCCCATGATGAATTATTACTTTTTTGTCGCCATTTTACAAGGGGAGCAACTCCTCTTTTTACATGTAACCGTCATTTGAATCTTGCAGCTTGAACGATTTGTTATGCGGGGTTTTACCATCAATTCTGACTGAATTTTGAATGGTTAAAACGTGTCAAATCAAATTTATGTATAAAAGTACATCGGTTTAAGCGCATGTGCCTTGTCTACTCCTTTCCTTTTATGGTCCTCATTGTCGTACTGACAATATGTGTTGGAAGAGGCGAAAGAGATATACGATTCAAGTAAAGAGTCCATACCATAACTTTATTGACAGCTAACAACTCTTTACACAGAATAGTGATGCTCATCAATGTATATGTGTCTATATACTGCAACTTGACCATAGATTTGCCTTCTACACTATGAACGAATTCAACTATGTTGCCCTTGTATTATTTCAATTTCATCAAAATTCGTTTTTCAAATCAGGATGTAATGTTACATAGAAATTATTCAAGTAATTGATTTGAATATTTTCTTGTCAATTTAAATAATATAAATCGGAGAATGGGTGCCACATTAAGAAAATTATCTACATAAAAACGTATTTGATGTATGATTCAAAAGAAGAAAAGCTGTAGTCACAAAAATCCAAATGATATTTCGGACATGCTGACGGGCGAAAACGCAATACTAGCATACGTCCCGAAGGCCGTCGGGCGTATAAAAAACAAATAAAATCTTATGAGGTAGAACAGTGTAATAAGGAACTTAATTCTTCCCTTTCATATACATGTCAAGTTAATTAGATCTAGTACTATAGTCTATAGTATTCAACCCTATTGAAAAGGTGGCCCATTAGTTTCCGAACTCTGGGCAATAAATGTCTCGTCAAATTTTAAAAAGTGGCCAATTAGTTTCCAAAACTTTGAAAAGTGACTTATATAGTACCCTCAACACCTTCACCACTAATACCTCACATCACATTATAATAAAGTAAATATAAAATATATAGCAATTTAACAAATAAAAATAGTATTTCCTACGATCTGAAAAAAAAATCATAAAGGAGTCTGTGCATGTTAAATACTGACAGGTAAGATAATTACATGTCAAATGACACCGATAATATATGTATACTAAACCTTATGGCATATTTCAATTCGTATGTATACAGTCAAAAAATAAAGTAAATGATATCCTTCAGGTATCGAAATTCGGAGTTTACAAGATAAAACAGAATAAATGAATATACGACTGAGAGCGTTATCAAATATCTGAATAAAGAATGCTCTCTATATTCAGCTTAACAATTTCAATTCAAATATTTTATTTACGTCTCATCACATGTACATTATATATATCACAATAAAAAAGAATGAAACTGGTAAAAGTACATATGCCATTCAGTATAGAATTATAAGAGACGTGTAAGCAAAGCTTACATCTATAGGTAAATATAATAAAAGATCATATTTACATACTTATATGATTATATACTATACATACTTATAATAAATGAATTGGGAATGTTGTGGATCTATCATTTTAAGTTTTCATATTCCTACTAATGTGTCTAAAAGTCTATATATAAAACAATTCACTAGTCTGATGTATAACAATTCTTATGAAATTTAAGAGAATTAAAATACTAAAATGTATAATAATAA